AACCACCTTTCATCTCCTCTGCCTGCCGGTGTCCGCTTTCCCTATTAGCATCTCTCAGCTCTTTGCCGAGCCCTCCGCCCTCTTTGTGGCCAGCTCAGGTTGTGTGTCAGGGATGGTGGCTGAGGGACCCACACATGCACACGGGGGAGGGCTGGTCCAACCAGAATCACTCACATTTTCCATCCTAGGTGCCAGCCATTTCTCTCCTCTCCCTGCCCCAGAGACAGCCAGGTTTAGGTCACCTGGCTTAGAGGCGGACAACTGATAGCTGGGCCCCCAAATTTCAGGCCTTTGGAGCCCTGGTATTGCCTTTCAGCTCCCCTCCATGGCTGAAACGGGAGCTGACTGGCTGGCAACTTTTATACTGAAGTCTTTTTGCTCACCTCCAGGAGCTCCCCCTCAACCCCAGACTCTCTGCTCGGAGGCTGCCTGTGTCAGTCCATCAGCCAGACATCCTGAGTTTTCCTGGACAGGCCTGCTTCCGTTGTCCTCATATTTACACATTTATGTTTGTGCTGTCCAACGCGGTAGCTACTTAAATTTATACTATATTTAAATGTATCATAATTTTATGTTAATAAAAATTAAAGAAAAATTTTAGCCTAATTTTATGTGCTTAGTAGCCACATGTGGCCAGCGGCTGCTGGTGGCCAGCGCAGATAGGAAGCATTTCCATGACCACAAGAAGTTCTATCAGACAGCTCTGATCTATAACAGCCAGAAATTCTGGTATATTGGCATCCAGACCACATCTCACAGCCCATTTCTTCCTCCTAGAAGGTCCTCAAGTTCCCTTGACCTTTCCAGTGAACCCAAAACGTCAGGGCCTGTTGGCATTAAGGTCACCTGGCGAAGGAAGCCTCAGAAGATGTGTCTCCCATAAAATTCACCATGACCAAGTTTGCATGTCTGCCGTTTCTGCCCAGTGGGGCACCTGGGACCCGGGATATTCCTGATGCTTGTGAACTTCAAAACATCACTTCGTTTGCAAAAGAGGGAACTTGGTGTCTATTAGTTTTATCCAAGCCGTCGGCCCCAGTGGCTGAATGTGACAGCTGGACGAGACCTCTGGTGCCGGCAGAGGGAGGAAGGGGCAGAGCTGAGCGAATCCAGCCAGGGTGGGCGCCTCTCGATCTGCCCTGTCCTGGGGGTGAGGGTGTGAAATGCCTGGCAGAACCACCCCGCCGACCACTCTGGGCCTCTTGCACATGAGCTTTTGCTGCAGGAGGAAGAAAAATAATTTTTTTTTTTTTTTTTGGCTTTCCCTTATCCAGAGAGAAGGGGCGCTTTGGGGCGAGCGGTTTAACCAGAAGCAGTTTCTTTCTGGAATGGGGGCAGTCGCTTGCTGCCTGCCAGCTCCTGCAGGCAAACGGCACGCCGCTGGCCGGCCTCCTCGGCCCTACCTGTCATGTGCTTGGCAAGGCTGCCTTGAGTCCTTTTTTCCACTGCCTTCCCCACCCCATCAAATAGCAGTTGCAACCTCTCATTTTTCTGCTGCCTGGATGATTAAAAAGCATGACTTAGTGGAAAAATCTTGACCTCCTTAGGGTCAGCCTCTTAAGCAGCTGTCGTAGATAAGATTGTGCTGGCGAGATCCTCAGCAGTTCTCTGCAGGACTTTCTGTCTGCGTGTAAGGAAATGAGAAGCTGTTTGTGTCTGGGTGCCTTTTGTTTGTCTTTGGAGAGAGCTTTCAGAGGCATAAATTGCTATTATCTGATAATAAAATAAAATCTCTGATGGAAGGGTTAGATTATTACGGTGATTTTTAAAAATGTAATTAACAGGCTTTGTAAAAATATATATATATTTTTTATGGCGCCTGCTTTGAACAATTCAGGGAGCAAAGTTCTCTGGCAACTGAGCAGTATCAGAAGTTCAGGGCTCAGACTTCCCCCAAGGGACTTATGAGACTTAATTGTGCAGCTCCCGGTATGAAAGGCATGGTTTGGAGTTATTTTAATTACTGTGTTGGTATTGCTGCCTCTTGTTTGCAGATTGAACACTTCCCGTAGTCCTGTTGAAACTGCTCCAGAAAGGACATTCAGATTTGAATTTAGCATTCAAAGCATTTTATTATATTTGTATTTGCCAAGAACTTGTATTCACCTAGCGAGATAAGAAGGTCACTTTGCTTCACGAAAGGAGAAACTGAGGAATGGGTGATTGAGAGGACTTGGTTGGGGTTATACATGTGATGTCAAGGACATAGGAGAATCTGGGGTCTGTGGCTTGACACGGTGTGTTACCAAATGAACGCCTTCTTTGAAGACCTTTAGGTCTGAGTTTGGGTCCCGGGTCGACCACTTCCAAGCTCTGTGACTGTGAGGAAGCCACTTGCCCTCTCTGTACTTCGGTTTCCTTGTCTATAAAATAGGGATCACGCCACTACATACTCCATAGGACTATTGTGAAGATAGCAATTCTGATCAACAAATATGCCTGCCATATCTTCATCATCATCATTATTTTAACATTCCCCTCACACACACCCTGCCCGTTTTAGTTAAAGACCTATTCCCAGCTTAAAACAAAACGCCGTGCTCTCCACCCTCACTGGCACCCTCCTCCTACACTTGGCCGAGCTGCTGCTTGTCCCTTTCACTCTTGCTAGGCTGGGGTGCTCATAGTTAGAATCTGATTGCCTTATCTTTCATCTGGGGATTCACAGGGTAGGCACGGCCCTGGGCTTGAGGTCAGAGGGTGGAGGGTAGAGTCTGTCCTGGGCCAGCTGTGTATCTCCTCTTGATGTTTCACAGCTCTGTCTCAGGTCCTGAAGATTTAGGACAACTGTCTGGACGGGGAAGTTCAGCTTCTGGACCTGGCTGCCCAGAAGGTCCTCTTGGGGCCTCCAGCAGCTGAATAAGCAGTTAAAACCCAGAGTCTTGCCTACCCTCCCTGGTCAGTTTTTCTATCTGTAGAATGTGCGTGTTCACCCAGTGGAATCCACTCATTTTTCAAAAACTACAGGCATTGAGACAGATCTGGGTTTGAATCCTGGCTCTCCCATGTGACCCTCGGGGTCGCTAGTATCATCACTCACAGGGAGGGGCTCCAGCTTCAAGTGAGGAGAAGTGAGGAGGGGCCTGAAGAAGCCACTAACCCTCTCCCAGCTCAACACAGGCTGGGCAGAACTGCAGGGTCGACTGTATCAGGAGGAGAAAGCCCTCTGTGGGGGTCAACCTGCCCCATGCTTCCTTTCGGCCCCACTCCCCTCCCCCCTCCCCTGCCTCGTTTTCCTTCTGGCTGCCATTAGGGTACTTTTTATAAGGCTTGTTAAGTCTTTAATGATGCCTGGTTGTGCAGCTGGCTTAAGGCTTAATCCCCAGCAATAGGGCTTTATTGGATAAATGGTTAATAATCACTTGTCTGCAGGGATTGGGGAGGTTTCCTTGAGGCCCATGACTCCCAGCAGCCCCAAGTGACCTGTGACATGGTCAGTGATTTGGCTGGGACTGCACTGCTTGGGGTTGGGGTGCAGTAAGATGGGCCCCCCTCATAGCATCACAGAAGGCCTGAGATTATAGAGAGCACTTGTACCTCCAGGGAACAGAGAACACCTGTCTGTTGCTGTGGGCTTGTCTGGATCTGAGCCAGGAACGGGCAATCCCCAAGATCTCTTCAAATGTGTCTCTCCACCCACTCGTGGTTTTGCCTTCCTTTCTTTTGCCATTAACAAGCTGTGTGACCTCGAGCAAGTCTCCTGACCCCTCGGGGCCTCAGTTTTCTCATCTATCAAAAAGAGAGTTTGAAGAGATGGCCTTGAAGGTGCCCTGTGATTCTGTGAGCCCCAGCATCCCAGACAGGCTCCTCTCTCCAGCTCTGGGATGGGTCACCGAGGGCTGTGAATGGCAAGGGACCAGCAGCCCATCGGATTAAGTACTTAAACTGCTGGGCAAAGAATTGGGTCAGCTGTAGTCACAGGGTATGTGTGTGGAAGGAACACGTAGAGGTCCTTGATCTTACAGCCTGGTTTGGGGTTTCTCCGAGCTCTGGGCAGGACCTACAGTAGGCTTTTTTTTTTTAAAGCCTCGTTGATGGGACTGTGGAGAGAGAAGTAAATTCTTTCAGGTGTAGAGCTGTCAAGGAGCCAGGAGTTGTTCACAGATGAAAAAGGAGCCTGGGATTTTGTTCCCAGCTTGCTTGTGACTGGGGCCACACCCTCAACCCTTATTTGGCCTTCACTTTACACTGGCACCGAGATCAGAACCCATCTATGGGAGGAGCAAGTGTGGCTTTGGGGCACTGGCATATAGTCAAACAGACCTGGGTCTGAATCTCCTTCCACCACTCATTTCCAAGCTGCATAGTTTGGGCAGCCTTTCTCCAAGCCTGAGATTCTTTAAGATAGTATCAGCAACACCCGTTTCTCAGTATGACTTTGTTTGTTCAAAATTATATATGTAAAGTACCTGGAGGCTGGCTCTTACTAGGTGATAATGATCCTGAGAGGATTTTTTTTTAAATTTTTTTTTAATTGATTTAAAAGAGAGAGAGAGGAAGAGAGACAGAGAAACATCCATCTGTTGCTCCACTTATTTATGCATTCATTGGTCGATTCTTGTATGTGACCTGACTGGGAATCAAACCAGCAACCTTGGTGTATCGGGATTACACTCTAACTACCTGAGCTACCAAAGCGATCTGTCACCTGCTTGGGGCTGCTGGAGTAAAATGCTTGTTATAAACAGAGATGTGACTTACTGGGGATGACATGATTTTGAATTCCTTTATTAGAAATAAAATAAAACAAAAAGTGCAAACAGAGCCACCCCACCTTTTAGACTCGGTGGGGTTGCCCTGAAAACGTGCAGCTTCAAGCTGAGGGATGGTTTCCCATGTGGCCCCAGAATTCGCTCCTGGCTCCTGCCTTAGGGAGCCTCCCAGACCCCCCAGTATCCCAGGCATAGTCCAGTCCGTCCTGCACCCGTAGGTGAAATAAGGGGCTGGAGCTGCTCTCTGCAGATCTGTGTGACCCGCTGCTCCCTCTGCCTTTATTCCAGATCTTCCCCGACCCCTCCGACTTCGACCGCTGCTGCAAACTGAAGGACCGCCTGCCCTCCATCGTGGTGGAGCCCACAGAGGGGGAGGTGGAGAGCGGGGAGCTGCGGTGGCCCCCCGAGGAGTTCTTGGTCCAGGAGGACGAGCAGGACAACTGTGACGAGACAGCGAAAGAGAACAAGGAGCAGTAGAGTCCCCACCGACTCCCCGGGTGGCCCCAGACGGCACCTGTACCTGAACTGTGTTCTTTCCCGTTGTGATGGAGGAAGAGAGCGAGCCACGCTCGCCCTGAAAGGCCAGGGACGGCTTCCGATTGCACCTGCGAACCACTGAGTCGGTCCCCTTTTCTTTCCTTTTCTGTTCTGAACTGTGTCGCGCCGCGGAGCCCGGCGGGGCTGCAGGCCCCGGGAGGAAGGAAGCTGCCGGAGCCGCTGGGCGCGAAGCTCTGGCCTCAGATCGCTATCTGGACTCAGCAGCTCAGCTCAGGCGGTGCTGGGATCCCAGGGGCTCTGCGGGGTGGGGGTGGGGGTGTGCACAGCGAGCAGGGAACGTTTGGGCTGAGCAAACACACGTTTTAAAGAAAACATTGAGCAGAGACGTGCAGCCAGGATGTGCTCCTCGGAGTGTTCACCGGCTGCTGCGGCCTCCGACGGCAGAGGCTTCATCTCTCCCAGCTTCGCCCACCGCCCCCTCCGGCCTTTGCTTCACTTCAGCTGTGTCGTCTGTTCCAGGGGAGGCGGGCCAAGGGGAGCCGTGTGGCCTGGCTGCCTGCAAAGCCAGCTGGAGGTGATGCTCGGGGAAGGAAAAGGCCTCCCCTTCCCCCTCCCTGGCCCCTCTGACCCTCTGCTCCTGGCTGTGGCAGGTTCACACTCCTACAGTAATCTGGGGTTGTTACTTTTTTAAGAGGCAGCGCTTTTGAGCTTCTCCCCCAATTTACCCCTTTTTGCCCCTCGCCCAACCCTTCGGGAGTAGTGAGAGTACTTCATGCCCTTGTTGGAGGACCCGCGTGGACACTTGGCCATGAGGGTCCTCCCAGCTGCTCCCCCCACGTTTGCTCTCAGTCTGAGCAGAGGCACAGGGTGAGTGGGCTCTCCCAGGCTGGCCCTTTCTCCTTACAACGGCCCTCCCCAGCCCCTGGCCGCAGCCATCAGGCCAAGGTGGCTCCCAGCCTGCAGCAGGTTCCAGCCAGCCTGCTCAGCTGTAGCACCCACTCCCAGGTGGACTCTTGGCCTGTTTTTCTGGTGGGAGCTGAGTGGAGAGCAGAGGAGGTTTTTGTGTTTCCTGTTGGGGAGGTGAGCTTTAGTGCAGGTCCCGAGAGCTGGGAATTATTGGGTGCTGGTGAGGAGGCTCTTGTGCAGCTGGCTGGGGATTGGGTTTGACACTAAGGGGTGTCATGACATCCCTGGCTCCCCCCGTGTGTTCCTGGGTGCAGGTGGGAGGACGGTGCGGTGCGGGAACACTGAACGGTGGTCCTCATCGCTCCCTACCCACCTGTCCCCTGCAAGGGCACTGTTACATGAAAAAGTTAGCCCTGGACTTAGAGCTTCTTCATATCATAGTTCAGGACCACCAGGAGCAGCAGGATACAGGACACACTCTCAAACCATCTCTGTCTCAGAGCAGCCTGTGCCACCACGAGGTGGGCTTGAGAGCCTCCCCGGGCTGAACTCTGCCAATCGAGGTGCCCATGTGAGCCCGCAGGTGTCCAGTCAGTCCAGGTTGACCCGGTTTGGGACTTGCATAAAGGTTGTATTTAATACCTCAAGGTTAGTGCGGCTCTGGGGAATGTCAGGCAGGAGGACCAGGGTTGACACATCAGCAGGGTTTGGTTCTGGGCAGCAGACACTCTCCCACCCCACTGGCCCTGCTCCCGTCCTCTGTGTTGTCTGCTTGTGTTACACACACCGATGGCAATAACTTCTTCCAGCTCCTCGAGGAAGCGGGAGAGCCTGCAGCCTGCACTGCGGGTGTTTCTCTCTCTTGCTCTCCCTTTCCTTCGGTTTTGGCTGCAGAGAGCCTTTCCTCCAACTCATCCCCTCACAGCAGCATTTCTCATCCTGTGCCTCCCTTGTGGATGGGGTCTTGCCTTTTAAAACCCTGTGTTTCTGTGTCCCCCTCTCATGTGCTCCCCTGTATCATCTGTCTGTGTGATGGGAACGTGCTTGTAAACTGCATAACAGATCTACTTTGTGTATATGTGTGTTTATGGGGTGGTTTATTATTTTGGCTGGTTGCTAGACCCCTTTGTTCAACCTTGTGGAGTCTGAGCAGGCCAGAGGCTGACAGCTAAAGTCAGGACCCTCAGCGGTGAGCCTGTTGGGGGGATCCAGTCGCTCTTGGACAAGTGGCTGAGCTCCTGTCTGGCCTCTTTTTTTTTAAGTATCTTGTGTGTATTTCTAACTGATCGTATTGGAAAAAAACCTAGTATTTCAGTAAAAATGCCTGTTGTAAGATGAACCTCCTGTAACTTCTATCTGTTCTTTTTTGAGGCTCAGGGAGAAACTAGCTTTTTTTTTTTTTTTTTCCAAACTACTTTTTGTCACTGTGACAGTTGTAAATAAAGTTTGAAAATGCTTTCCACTCTGGTCTGGTTTCCTTCTTCCTGCTCCACTGGAAAGGAGAGAGCCCAAAAGAAACCAAGGTGCACCTCTCGGAGGAGGCTGGGTTGGGGGGAGCACCCTGTGAGGTTCCTTACCTATCTCATCTGCTGGCCTTCCTGGGGTGAACCCTTGCATGCTTTATTTTTATCACTTGGCTGAATGCAGGGAGCCTGTTTTTCTGTGCCAGTGGTTCTCAACTCTGGATGCACATCAGAATCACCAAGAAATCTTTAAAAAAAACATACAAATGTCTGGTCCTACACCCCAAGACTTGACTTTCAATAGGCTGGGGTGAGGTTGAAGCATTAGTATTTTTTAGAATCACCTGGGGAGATTTTAACACGTAGCCATGGTTTAAAACAAACATTCTAAGGGAAGTGAAATAGCCAAGATATATTATAAGTTTGTTCACGAAAACTAGGGGTGAGTGGAAGGGTGTGCATGTAGCTAAAGAAAGTGCCAGCACCCATTAAGATCATTTATTCAGTGCCTGCCACTTACCAGGCATGTTAAGAGGTTGGGGTAAACAAAACAGCATTGGTCCCAGCCCTCAGGGCCCTGCTTTAGTGTAAATTTCAATGATAAGTATGGTGAGTGCAAGGCAGGAGAAATAGGGTGCCCTGAGAGCATCAGCTGGAAGGGTCAGGAAGGGCACCTGAAGAAGGGACAAGGACCAGGAAAGGGGGTGAAGTGCATGGAGAGCGCTTCCGGCAGACAGAAGGCTGGGATGAGCTTGGCTAGTGGGGGTGGGGAGGAGGAAATGGTGCAGTGCAAGGAGGGCTGCTTAGGCTGGGTGAAGGGTTTGGATTTTATTCCAAATGCAGGGCCTAGAAAGGTATAATTTACATTTTTATACACTCTGGAAATGGGACTGGAGGGGACACAATGGAAGGTACAGAGACCAGGAAGGAGGCTTCATGGAGGCCAGAGTGAGAGAAGGTGGTGCTTTGTGGAAGGGTTTTTTTGGACATCTTTCTAACCTGAAGCTGGATATTTTTGCCTTCACTCAGCCGTATCTGGGTTCTTCACCATCATGAGTCTAGATAATCAAGTGATCTGTGCTGGGAGTGTCCCCAGTACTAGTAGAATATCAATCCCTTTTAACATTAGTCAAATCAAACCATTAGATCTATGGATCTGCTGTCCTGAGGGTAATTTGCACGCCTCTTTCATCTTCATTTTGGATCGTCCCTCTATTTCCCTCCAACAACCTGAGGATGGAGTTTATTAGAACATAGCCTCCTTGAATATAGCTCCTCATAAAACTGCCTTTATTTCCAGATGGCATTGTCTATGCAGAAAATCCTATGAAATCTACAAAAATATTTTTTAAAAGCTACGAGAACTGACATCTGAGTTAGGCATGGTTGCAGGATCTAAGATCAATGTACAAAAATCGACTATATTTCTATGCAGTAGAATAAACAGATGGAAGTTGAAATTTAAAATACTACTTACATTAGCGTAAAAAAATATAAGCTATTTAGTGGCAAATCTGGCAAAAGGTGTGCAAAACCTCTTCAATGGAAATTACAAAAGACTGCTGGGAGAAATTAAATAAGACCTACATAAACAGAGAGATACCATGTTCATGGATCTGAAAACGCAATGTTAAGATGTCATTTTCTCCAAATTGATCTATAAATTCAACACACTCAAAATCCCAGCAAGCTTTTTGTGTAGAAATTGACAATCTGATTCTGAAATCCATGTGGAAATGCAAAGAACCTAGAATAGTCAAAACAACTTTGAAAAAGAACACATTTTGTAAAAGAACAAAGAACTCAGTTTCAAACCTTACAAAGCTGCAGTAATCAAAACAATGCCATATTGACATCTAGATAGACAAATAGATCCATGGAACAGAACAGAGAGTCCAAAAATAAATGCACACATATATGGTCAATTGACTTTGACAAAGGTACCAAGGCAACTCAGTGGATAAAGGATAGTCTTTTCAACAAATGGTGCTGGAACAGCTGGATATTCACCTGCAAATAGTCCCTGGGGGTGGAAACAAGAGTCTTCTGTCTCATTGTTTTCATGTAACTTTCTAAATAGAATAATTATGCATTTAGAAATAAATTCCTTTTTCATGATTGGCCAATTGCTTCAATACTGTCCCTATTCCACCCCAGGAATTCTTCTCTCCCTAAAGGAGGAGCATTGGGTGGCAACTGGGGACCTTCGTTCTGGTATTCAGGCTGACTTGCATTCAAGTCCTGCTCTGCCCCTCCACATGTCATTTGGAACCAGTTTCTTAACGTTCAGGGTCCTCAGTGTTCTTTATGAAACAGAACTAAGACTAGCACCTCCTGTACAGGGCTATGAAGATTGAGCACTCAGTATGTGGTCCACAAGTCAGGGTTTTTTCCTCTCTTTCTCTTGAAAGATCTGGTGACTACAGAACTAGCTCCTGCCTTCTCTTCCTGCTTCTTGCTCCAGACGCTTGTGCACAGCAGAGTCAAGGGGAGCTTCAAGATGAAGCCACCTCCCTACCTGCAAAAAAAACTCCCTTAGTCTGTCCCTTTTGTTCATTGCTGTGGGTGTTTGGGAGGCAGAAAGCAGAGAGAAAGAAATTTTAACACCTGCCCACCAAAATACTGGGGAGGAAAGTGGGAGACATCTCCTATCAAGATGGGTCTGATGCCTGGCTCCTTTCAAAGAGGTGGAGCTTGGACAGAGACCTATTTGAAGTAATGGTTGAGCTTTGTATATATTGGGGAGAGATTTTAGGCAGAGATTTTAGGTAGAAATTGACTTGACCTTTCTGAGGAATATCTGTGATGCTGGCATGGCTGAAGTACAGAGAAAGAGGAATAGCTGTGGTCAGATAACACAGAAAATCACTACTGCCCATTGGGAGAAGCCCACTGGGGAAGGAATCAGGCTCACCAGGCATCCCAGCCCCTGGAAGTCTACTGGTCAATCCATCCAAAGTTATCTGACTCCTGACAAATGGCAGTCAGTATTGACCTACCTGAGGCACTATCACACCCTGAAGGGACGGCTGGATCATCAAGGAAGGGTTAAATCAGGTAGAATTCAATTTGTACATCTGTCCTTCAGTTACTGAAAGGGGGCTGTGGCTAAGAGAATGGGCTCTGAGATCATACTCCTAAATCTGTAGCTCAGTCCAAGCTCTTACTAGCTATGTGCAAGTTACTTAGGAAAGTTACTTTTGTTTCCTGTGCCTCACTTTCCTCATCTGTAAAATGGGTACCTACCTCATAGAGTTGTGGTGAAGTTTAAATGCATTATTACAAGTAACATGCTTAGAACTGAACCAGGCACATAGAAAGAGCTCAAGAAACATTAGCCAGAATAATGGTAAGTAGAATAATATTCCCCACTCCCAAAGATATACATGTCCTAATCTCAGGAACCTGTGAGCATGTTATGTTACATGGCAGGTGGGAATTAAGGTTGCAGGTGGAATTAAGGTTGCTAATCAGCTGGCCTTGATTTGGGGAGAGCCTGGATTATCCAGGTGAGCCCAACCTATTCACAATTGTCTTTACAATAAAAGTGGGAAGCCGAAGAGTGTCAGAGTCGGAGAGAAACCTGAAGACGAAATGCTGCTGGCTTTGAAGATGGAGGAAGGGACTCCCAGCCAAGGAATTCAGGTACCTCTAGAAGTGGGAAAAAGCAAGGAAATGATCCTCCCGAAAGTTCCCAGAACACCTTGATTTTAGCCAGGTGACACCCATTTTAGACTTCTGACTTTGAGAACGGTAAGATCATGAATTCGTGTTAAGTCACTAATTGTGTGGTAATTTGTTACAGACACAATAGAAAATGATTACAGCCATTGTTATCATAACCATAATAATGATGATGACATAGACGTTTCCTGTGTGGCTTCAGAGAGCTGGGTGACAATGAACGAGAGGGCCAAGGCAGGCCAAGGCCACTTTCCAGCAGTTGAGGCCCACACCTTGCTAAGGCTCAGCACCTTCTCTGGGTGTCACCAGGCAGAGGTATCTGTCAGATGGAGGGAGCACCACTGTACTGGGACCTGATAAATCTGAGGCTGTAAAGCCCTTATTCTAGAATTTTGAAAATTAGTAATTAGTAATTAATGTTCATCAGTATAGTCTATGAATCAGAATATTCCTCAGAATACTCCCTTCTCTCCATTTACCTTGATAGAAGGTCCTACTTTGAAATGTGATCCATTTGCAGTACTTCCTTTGCTGTCTCCCCCACCCCCCACCAAAACAAAACAAAACAAAACATGAATTCACTCTTTTCAAATATTAGTTACTGTTTATGGAGCATTGGGCTATAGGTTTAACTTCATTTCTTCTCATTCCCACAAGTTTTGCAAAATGTGGGTTCTCATGTATAGAATTTTTGGGGTGTTTTTTTTCTTCACAAACTTTATTTAGCAATGATGGAAATTATACAAGATGGTGAAATTTGGGGACTTCGTCTTTCAAGTCCCATCGCAGTAGCAATCAATTATTTGCATTTTTGTTTCTTTCCTTTCATTGTCCCTCTTACTAACCAGAATGTACTCAATGAATTTTTTTTTCTCTGAAGTAGGCATTTCAAATATTATTTTATAGATGAGGAAGCTGAGGTCAGAAGGCTTCAAAATATACCAACTTTGGAACCAGAAAGAGCCATGTTAGAACCAGGGGTATGCTGGTAAATGTGTAAGAGCTGGCTTTCCAACGGGGCAAAAAAAAAAAAGGCCCTGATTTGTAGCATTTGCCAGTTTCCATAGTGTAAATGCTCTCATCGCCACTGGTTTCATGGGCAAGCTACTCAGCCTGTCTGCACTTTAACTTCCTTTTCTGTAAAATGGATGTAAGTCCAAAACCAGGGCAGTGCCTAGCTCAGAGAACTTTATAAACTCTAGTGCCCTGTCTTCATTCAGAAAAATCTTCCAGAAGAAAATGTCTGGTACAGTATTTTTCAAACTAAATCGTGAATCCTTTTTGGGTTGTGAAATCGATTTATTTGTGGGTTGCA